TGACACATAAAAATCAATGTGTCTGTTTTTTAATATTTACTTTTAAATTAAGAAATTGAGTAATGTATAGTTCTAAAATTTGTATTATAATCAACAGATTGATACCAAAGTTATTGACATAAATTCATGAAATAGAGAGATAATTTTCTCCTTTGTAATCACCCGGTAGTATGTCTCGGGCTTATAGCACTGAAAGTAAGGTTTTGATACTCAGTGAACACAACCCAAATATCTTATGGTTTAGCTTTGAGCTTGGCAACAAGCAAACACAGTTGTAATCAATATGTCTTTAAATACACTGAAATTCTATTAGGTTTGTTTCTAGCAAAAAGTGCACTGCCTAGTGGGTTGAATGATATATCCACCATCATGCCAGTATCCTTTTCTTCAGTAACACTATAAAGTGGGTTCCCAGCTATATTAAAAGGATATATATGGGGGGGGGGGGGGGCAACAGAGAGGGATCAGGCTTGAATACCAACCCTCATGTCACTCCCTTTGGAACCCTATGTATATATGCCAAGTTTGATGACATTCTCTGTATTAACTAACCAGTAGAAGCAGACACACACTATTGTTAAATAAAGAGAGCTGAGTGCATGCAAGACTGTGGATTATTACTACTGCCAGAAAAAACTGTGTTCCACATTTTGGGGGCATGGATGCATTATAAGTGATGGTCAAATCCCAGATTTGATTAGAGTAGCCCATGAGTTGGTGGTGCTAACTGCTTTATCTCTAGTCTTTCAGATCAATATCAGGAACAGCATGAGCAGATAGTCCTTGAGTAGTTTTGCACAAAATTCAACAACAAACAAATAATAGTTTAGTTTTGCAAATTTATCCAAGATTTGTTTAGTACCTCAGAATCTTCAATACACCTAGAAATGCCAATAATTTAATATTGTCTGCAAACTTCACTAATTTACTGTGCTTACCAAACAGATCAGTATATGGTATAATTAATGCATAGATCCTGTGCCATGGCTTTAATTCCCTTAGATATTGCAAAAAAAGATGATGATAATAAACGACACGTTAGTTTGACAATTTTTTAGATATGCAAAAATAAAATTTTATTATATAAACAGCAAAAAAATTTTTATTAATACAACTATAATGGTTTGTAATGAATTTGTCTTTGTTGTTATATCTAACAATTTAATGATGTTTATGTGGTAATCAAGCTAACTGTATTTTGTGTATTATTGGTTAGAATGAAACAAGAAACAGTTTTTATTTTACAGCACTAACACCTACTTATGCTAAATAAGGCAAAGTTTATAAATAATATTTTCAGTGGCACATTGTTAATTTTGCTCATTTGATAAATGAAGGAGTTTCTGATATAACTCTCAATTGGTTTAAAATATTTTTGTTTGTATCTTTGATTTCAAGGTTTGTTCAAGCTCAGTTTTGATATAACCATTATCCAAAAGAATTTAAACATGTACTTAACTTTTTTTTTACACTACAACAATATTGATAACTTCATGGGATTGTTGTTACATTAGAACAGAAATACACTTTTGAAAGTTTCAAGTTTCTCAGAAGGACAAGAAATAATTGCTTCTGATAATTACTGTCTTTACAATGTAAATTAACAGAAATTAAACACTTGTAAAGTGGATCAGTCTGTTGATTACCATTTATGTACATGTGTATTTCAGAATACAAGTATGTCTAATATTCATGAAATCTATTTTTTCCAACTAGCACGTTGAGTGAATTTGTTTTTAAGAAATGTATATAAAAACATTCATTTTGGTATGTTTACTTTCCATGTCACTGTTATTCATGATAAGAATCCTTCTGTCTTTATTCTTGGTTTATAGGTTTGGAGGAATTTTCACCCATTACGTTGTTATTTTGTTTAGAGGTTGCATGATGTTGCCTCCAGGAATTCCATGTCTTCATTTGCTACATGTATAATGTACAGTTACTGTTTGTAAAACAAATACTCAGGGTTAAAAGCTTGAAACATTGCATAATAAGATTGTAGGGTTCAGGTCATCATACTTTTTGTGGAATTTTTTACAGGTTGTTCTTTGGTCAGGTTGCCTTAAAGATCTTTTGTCTATAGCCAGTACTAAGTTTCAGATTACTGCAAAGCGCTTATTCACATCACAGGGTGGAGAGATTGATGATCCATCACTTATCAAGTAAGTAAGGTCGGAATTTATATATGTGTGTATATATATATTCTTTTTTTAATTTGTGATAAAGATAATTATGAAAGTTTTGAATTTAGTAAATATATTGATTAATGGGAACTTACATGTTCTTTTTGACCTAAACATGCATAACAATTCTTCTGCAGAACAGTAGAATGTCATTTCTACTTGAGATATTTAGTTGTTTTATAGTGAGTAAACAATACTTTGGGAAAAGGGGGTTAACATTGTCTTGTAGTTTCCTTATGGACACATAATCATGGTATTTAACTTTCTTATCCAGATTTGATGCAACTTACATGTGCATTGTGTTAATGATTCCCTTACCTCTTAATAAAACAGTGCTAAGTATAGGAAGTATAGTAATGAAGGGAAAGACAGTGGCTAGGATGAAAAACATTTGATGTACGTTAATCAGTTGTTTCCTAATGCACTTTTTCTATCACCAGCAAAGAAGTTATATCAAGATATCTTTGTACAAATAAAGTAAAATCTAAATGATAGTTGATAACATGTTAAGGAAACACAGAAGAAATAAGCAGTAGGGTATGTACATATTTAAAATATTAAGTAAATTAAAGAATACACTTCAAAATATTTTATTGAGAAATAAACATCAAAGCAAAAAAAAAGTTGTAGCTTTAATAGCATATTTGTAAATATCTTATTTCTATATTAGTGGGAATTTAGGATCTAAGAAATGCAAATTGAAGTTAATTTTGTGACATAGGTGTTACCTTTCGGACAGTCGTCTGTTAGGTTATATTTACATTCAAAAGAACAATTACACTGGAAGCTGCTTTGATATCTGAAGTAACTTTGTGTCTTGTTATTATAGCTTTTCATAATTTCATCTAGGTGCTTTTAAGTTAATTTCATCAACAGTAAAATATTTCTGAGAATTCCTTGCAATAATGTAAATATGTACAAACGTATGCTTTGATTTAATGACATTTTCAGTTATTACTTGTCAAGATATCTTTGTGAACTTTATTGGGCCTACTCTGAAATTTAATAATTAAATGATACAAAACCTTAGTTTATTTATTAATCTATATAAATATATATTTATGACCATGTTTATAGTTAAAACATATAAATTCCAATATGGTATATTACCTCTTTTCACATAAATAGCTATTCCCGTTCAGTGCTGCCCTCTATATGCAGAATTTGTTTTTTGCATGCCATAGACCTTGAGCTCCCACGTACCTGAAGATCAACGTAGTTTGACTGTGTCTCCCATGCAAATCATTATGTGACAACCCTCCACCAATTTGAGTATGACACACCCTCCTGACACATGTGACTCTCTCTATTCAATTCCCTCTGTTCTGCTGAACTTGGGGTGAAGATGGTATGATCCTCTTTCATACACCCACATGGATGTCAGTTCGCAGTGACTGGGTTTTGGATTGTTGATCACTTAACAACGGTATGAACTCATCCTACCCCTGCGTGGATGTCAGCTCTTGGTGCCTGGGTTTTGAATGCAGTCGACTTACCATGTACAGTCCATCATGCCCTAGCCACACTACACCTAGAGGCACATCCTTTTACTCTCCCTCACACTGATGTACTCTATGGGATTGAGATTCCAATATCATGTAGTTCGGATCTCTATCCAATCATTGTTCTCTCCTTTTTGGGTGTGCGTTTCCCAATTTCTGCCCATCTCTGTGACACCTCTTTCCACACTGGGCAAAGAGTATACCTGGTAAAGAAGTGGTACGGTCTCCCACATATGATCCTCTACTGCAAGGATCTACTCTTTTAGGAGTGTCCTTCAGACACTTTCAAAGAATGCTTCTTTCTTTTCCTCACACTGCTCCCTCCACCTATTCAATGTGGGAATCTAGCTATTTATGTGAGAAGAGGTAATGTACTGTATTAGAAATTATAATTATCCTATACTGGAAATCTATTTCTGATAGGTACTTACCTCCTTTCACATATCCTACCCTTCCTCCCCACTGAAAACCGGTGCTTCCATTTTCTGTCAAATCTCAAAGTGATAATTTGGTAGGATTGAATAGAGGGAGTCACATGCATCAGGAGGGTGTGTCACACTCTTATTGGTGGAGGGTTGTTGCACAATGATTTGCATGCAAGATGCAGTCAAACCATGTTGATCTTGGTATATGTGGGAGCTTAAGCCTTGTGGGATGTGAAAAAATTTTGCATATAGAGGGCAGCACTCAGCAAGAATAGCTATTTATGTTAGGAAAGGTAAGTACCTGTTGGAAATACATTTTCAGTATAGGAAAATTATAACATATCATTGCATCAGAGGACTTCCTTTCAGCCAAACTAACGTAATTTTCATAACAGTAATCAGTATGCTCTCTCTCTCTCACTTATTCTCACAGAATTTGTTGTCAGGTTCATAATCTTGTGAACAGACATTAATTTAAGATGGTTGCAAAAATTGCAACTGGGATTTTATAAATACATCATGCAAAAATTACTGTAAAAGTTTTATATAAATAATGAGTTTTGTTTCAAAAATAAAGACAGCAAAGCACAAACAGCAGGAAAATTGCATTTGTTTTGCTCTGTGATGTCTTCAATGAAGTGAAAGTAATTGTAATGTAGAGCAGAATTTTTTAGAATGTTGCCTTAAGGTATATTGTAAAATTTGGCGACTGCTTTATCTACACTGATTATTGAAGAACCTTGAATGGGTATGTTATTAAAATAATGTATATCAAAGAAGACCTTTTTGAAAAAACTTTGTCAAAGAAAATCTTATTGTTGCTTCTTAATTTTCGGATACGTTTTTAAAGTTTATGTGTATGACATTTTCAACATGTAAAGTTCTTTATTGGCATTGCACAGAATCTTGAAATCTGAGCAATTAACTTGATTAATCTATATACACTGAGTGGTCACAAGTAAATAGAAACCTAATTTTTCATCATTTAACTGATTTATGCTAACTAATTTGTGATCACAGAGCACTATATAAATGAAAATGGTCCGCACACTAATTATCTTGTGCTACAACATGTCTAGAACTCAAGGTTCTCTCGAATTGTCAGATTTTGTTAGAGGAAGGATAGTTGGTCAAGCAGATGGTGGAATAAGTCAGCGGCAAATTTCGCAGAATTTGGGAATCCCGGTTTTGACAGTCAACAGAATCATCATGCAGTTCAGGAAACACGGCAAGGAAACAACTGAGCAGTGTCCTGGTCCATCAGAGAGGA